CTTTAATTAGGCACTGACCCCATAATTAATTAATACGAAAGCTAAAAGTACAGGTTTGGCCTTATTCAGCTATAATCAGAATATTTGGCTCAATTAATTATGAATTTCAGTCATAAGAAATTTCAGTATTGGAATAAATGTGCTGGATTTTCTCAAGTTTATAATCTGCGTGGGAAGATGAACAATTACCACATCCAAATACTGTATATTATGAACATCGTCTGACTCCAGAGGAAAGTTTTCCTTGCAGTCTTCATGGTAACCAGCAGAAGGAGCTCCAGGGCATGAAATGACGGCGTAAAACCTTTGATTCTCCAAAGAATCAATTCCTTTGATTCTCCAAAGAAGCTGGGGGCTCTCTGGATTTTTCTGGGCTGGCCATTAGAGAGCTAAATGAGACCTGAATTCCTTGTCATGATATTTAAGTTTCTTGATGCACTCGGAGATGTTTGTTAGGAAACCAGAAAGGTTATTCTTCCCTCCACCCAAATGAACGTCAGAATGGATTAAATCCTTTGCTCCTTCCATGGAGGTGCTGCAGGGCTGAACAAGGATGCCAGGACTCGGCAATGCTGGCTGATTTCTTGACCTCCTTTTCCCATCAAGAAGTTCTGGGGCTTTCTCTCTCCAGTGAGTGAGTCCTTCCATGCTTTGGAAGTGGGAGCCCAGATGTTCCCTCTTGGTGCCACACACCAGCCTCCAGAACCACTGCCTTCCTAGTATAAGTGCTCCACCCCATTTTTTAGGATTGTACTCAAGGATCCAAAGATCCCAGAGAGTTGAGAGTGTTCAGTGGCATTTTTCATTATGCCCTGGGACAGCGATGCCCTCCACATCTGGCAGCACTCCTCCATTTTGAAAGCCATTGGTTGCACAGCATGGTAGGTGGCTAGAAGGAAGATACGAACATCTCCTTCAAAGCAAAGCAGGTCTTGCTTGAAGACACCAGCTTCTCTAAAGTTTCTCAATATGATTTCTCAATATGTTTGCCTTGTTAAAAAAAAGTCCCCTGTGGCTTGATAAAACCTATATTAAGCCAGCATTTTGTACAAACACCTGGCCCTTAGCCTGTGGAGTAGGTATAAGATTTTTTTTGCCAGTGGAAGCAACCAAAATAGCATCTCTCTTGTGGGCTCTCTGCATTGCAGTCCCCCACTCCATTAGTATATTTTTCTGATGTTTCAATGTATGTGCCACATTTTGAGCAAATCAATTTGGCCCCCAGATTGGCTTGCAAAAATTGAACTGGACCATGCTCAGCCCTGGTGAAGCATTAAAAATGTGCTTTACAGAATGAAGGGAAAATCTCTGTCACAAAGAGTGCCAGTCTGGAAACAGAAAAGCAGCAACGCGTTGCCCCTGGGCTTTCTTCCTCACCGAGGGCGATGAGAAGAAGCCCTCGGTCTGGTTGGGTGGTGGGCACATTCCACATTTGATCCATGGGTGATCAGAGATCTCTGTGGCTTAATCCCCTGGCATTCTGTCTCACGAGCTGCCTGCCAGTTGGGCACTTCTGACCATGTCTAATGGTCTCATCTAAGGTCCCTGGACACATGGCTCAAGGCACCCACATAATGGCACTGCAGAAGCCGGTGCCTTCTGTCTCCTGCTGCCAAGCCGGAATGACCTGGAGGGACGTCCCCAGTGACCAAAGGGAGGGGCGTATCACAGCTGCTGAACACAGCCCCTGGGAACTGGGAGGACCAGCATCTGAACCCTTGTCCATGCAGAGGCATCTTTGCAGGCACCATTTCAGGGGATGAATTGAAGGTGACATTGTGAGGGCATGGCCCGAAACAGGTCAGTGAGAAATCTTCATGCTGCAGGAAAGCGAGGAAGAACCAAAGATGTAGTCTGAGGCCATGCCATCGTACATTAGTTTGCCCCATAAGAATATTTCTTCCCCTTTCCCGTTCCACCCTCTGCCCCCAGATTTGAAGGGCTCGTCTTGCCATCATTCCTGTAAGAGGGATCACTTAAGACAACTGTTAAAGTACCAGCAGGAGGCTGCACTGAGAGCCCGCTGCCGTCTTTCTGGCTTTCTCTTGGACTTGCAACTCATTCCACAGAATCCCAACTGGGTAAAGAAGAGCAGATCTCCATGACTGCATCTGGAGAAGAACAGCAGGTGCTTCTTTGCCTGTATTTGCCAGTTTCAATCACGCTCCTCCACTCCAAAATAAGACTCGCATCCCAGCCACGAGTCAGTTTTCCTGCTCTCCAGCACGATCTGGGAAGGGTCTCCTTCCCGCCTCACCGGGACTGTTTCTGCCCTAGCGTCTTCCCATTTTGTATTTATTTCGCTTTATGTTCATTTGGGAGGTGCCCAGAGCAGATGTGGGGAGGCAGAGAAGAAAGAGAGTCCTGAAGTCAGACCCTCCCATTCCTCTTGCAGCCCCCACTTGGTAGATGTCCCCCCCCCCAGCTGGTGGGGATTGGCAGCAAAGCCAGAAAGCCAGTCTCCTTGCCTTTAATGAGGGGCAGACGCTCAAGCGCGGCCATCCGACAGTGGCTGAGAAGAGATGCAGGCGAGGAATCAGCAGCGGGGAGAGCAAAATCCACATCGTCGGCATTACTTGGTCCCAATTGAAGGATAGGCGGAGAGCACTGCAGCTCACGCCCGGTGATTCTCTGCGCCCATTTGACTCCCAGGAAACTTGCAGCCCTCACGAAAGGGGAAGGCGCCTCTTCCACGGCCACCGAACTCACACACCGTCAGGTTGAGGCTGGCGGCTCCATTCGCTTCGCAGCCTCTGCAGGAACTGGTGGAGAAGAGGCAGGGTGGAAATAGATAGATAGATAGATAGATAGATAGATAG